ATAAATAGTAGTACTCAGTTGTGTACCACTCATATTATTTTAAAATATCAAAATTTTTTTTCAAAATTACTACTTTTAAAGAATTACAAAAAAGTGAATGCACAAGTTTACAAGAATTGGAATAAAGAATACTTTTCGCTGGTCTTGGTTAGAAGAAAAAGACAAAAATGGAACTTTCTTGTCTGATTATATACGCAATATAAATATTCCTGGAAAAGTTCTTTGCAGCATTTGTAATGTACTTTTGTCCTATAAAAATAGCGGTAAAAAAGACTTTAAAAACCACTCTAAAAATAAATCGCACAAAGAAAAAATAAATATTGCACAAACCAACACTACTCTCTCGTCGATATTTACAAAAAACAAAGTTGTAAGTACTTGTACTTTACCATACGGCACTGCTCTAAATGTTCATAATGAGCAAGCATGTGCAAGTAAAATGGAAAGTTCTGTAAAAAAATATGTAGGAGTAGACGAAGCAATGGTTCTTTCTTTTGTTGCTGAACATTCACTACCATTTTGTCTCACACCTGCAATAATAAGATTATCGCAAGTGCTTGCCAAAGACAATAAAGTTTTAACCTTGTTGAGTATGGCTTGATGTACAGCATCTTACAAGCTACGATACGGCTTAGCTGCACATATTGCTGACAATATAAAAGAAGATTTACGTAAATCGTACTTTTCAATAAATGTTGATGAGTGTTTAAACAATGCACACGAAAACGCTATATATAAAATTTAATTTCGAACCTCTCTGACTCGACCAATTACATGTGCGGTAAAAAAAACAGGTTTTGAGACCCTTTTAAGGCTACATATCCCTCATCTTTTAGATATTGACGGAGACATGTGTCATCATATGCATAATACTGTTAAAAGATTCTTGGCACCATTTGAAAAGTTTATTGAGTATTTCTGTAAAGATGTTCACAATGACCTAAAATGGAGCTCTGACATTCGAAACTATTTAAGTGAAATATGTGGTTACTTAGGTGTAAACTATCAAATGCCACCTGACCATATTGATCACTGTTGGTTATCAACGTTCAATGCTATTGAGTGTAACATGGCACTTTTTCCTGCTCTTAGCGTGTTGTACTTTTTTTCGTTCAAGAAAAAGGAAAAAACTATCTACATGGATGATTATGAAAAACTAACGGGGGGTAAAAATTTAAAAACGTCAAAAACTGCGAAAAAAACTTTATGCAGATATAATGTTTTATTCGTGAAATTTTATATTTTTAGAACTTGTCAAATGGTGTCAAAAAAAAGATATACTCAATTGGCGCTAAATGCAAAAAAAAGTCTTTAACTGAAGCTGGAAAAGAAAGAAAGAAAAGAATAGTAAGCAAACTTTTCTACAAGCGAAGAAAAACCGAGCTGCATGCTAACTTCTATATTGCAATCCTCCCGATTTTCAAGTCATTTATTTTAACATTTGAACAAAAAGAACCGAAGATTCACATTTTATACGATGAGCTAAAATCAGTGGTTAAATCTTTTTTAGGCTGCTTTATGAAGCTAGAACTAATTAAGTAAAAAACTAACAATGCTTGACGTAACAGACTTCAAATTTCACAAAATTCAAAAAGATTGGTACATTGGCAAAAACACAAACAGAGCTCTTCTCAAATTTAGGTTAGTAAATTTGTATTAACTAAAGCAAAACAGTAATAATATTATTAAATTCGATTTTTATATACGCGACTTTTGATATTAGCCTATTACAATATTAAAAAATAATCAATAAACTTACGTTGTTTTTGAAATATAATTTAACGAGAAAAGTAACGAAAATCTTTTAAACAATATAGACTTGATGATCCTATCCGAACAGAGTTTGAATCGCATGTTAAAAGAGCATTTCTCGATGGTGCAAAGTATATGCAAAAAAAGATTCCTTTATCGAACGAGTTATAAAAACTACTATCCTCTTTTGATTCAACGTGTGTTGGAAGTACAGTTGCGTGTCGAATGACGCAGAAGCTGAAAGAATTTTTTCCTAACATTATAAAAATTGACAAAGCAGACTTATTTGACAGGGAAGTTGTTGCGTTTCATCTCGCTAAAGACATACCAGCAGTAAAAGGAAAAAAACTTGATCAACGGTTGTCCGAGGTTTTTGTATTGAACCGATACAACTTACTTACCAAGGTTATTAAAGCTTGTTTGTCAATATTTACTGGACCTATGATAGAACAATCGTTCAGGTAACTTTTTTGATCTGAGAGCTTCAAGTTGTAATTTAAAAGTAACTATTAAACACTATTTATAATATTATTTCTAATTTAGTTAAATAATTATTATAACATAATTATATTATAGTAGTTCAGGTAAGTCAAAAACGAAGAAAAATTTCTTTAGACTATTTATTTCTTTTTCTTTACTAGTACCATGAATGATGTCATAAACAAGAAGACAACCCGTCTTAATGTAGAAACGTTTTTGGCAATTCAAACAGTTAAATTTGATTTGCGTTCAAAGAAAAGCAACTCTATAACTCAATACCATCGTCAAAACTTTTTAAAGTCGCCAATTAATAAGAAATTATGCGAAAAAATGATACTTTCGAAAAGTGTATACGAAAAGAGACTTGCAATGGTACGACTGGACAGAAAGCGAAATAATGATGCAATAAATTTTGAACCACCGACAAACAAACTGAGAAAAGTTTCAGTCCATAAGCGAAGTGATTTACTTAAAAAAAAAGTTTTAAAACAATAAAAAAGAAATCTCTTTGCTAATAGCTAAAAGAGCTATTTAAAAAATAAAAATTTACAATTTTTTTAAAAAAGAGAAGAGTTTGACACGCATCGCTAATTTTATTTTAAAAGTAGAAGATCATTCGCTTTTTTGCGCTGGAATTTTTATTAAACTTTAATTAAAATGCTTATTAATTTTTGATTTAATTTGCGAGGGAAATCTTTTAATCTTTTTGGCTTTCTTTGTTAACTAAATATAGCGTTTTGTAATTTATGGACAACAAATTTACTGTTTATATATACTTGTTACTTGTTTTTTTGATGACAGTAATAAACAGAAAAAAGTTTATAAATTGTATTTTTGAAAATTATTTAATTATCCGGAAAATACAAAAAAACTTAAAAAATATCCGGAATTCCGGAAATATCCGGAAAAAGATAATTCCTGAAGCTTTCATTAACTTCAGATACTATTTTCAGAAAAATAAAAATTGAAGAACCAGTATTAAATACCGAACAAGCAGAATTAATAATTTTTTATTATTAATAGTAATAATTTAACAATAATTTTTTTGTCAGGTTTACTTAACCGGAAATCTCGAAAAATGTTAAGAGATGATTATCGAGAATGTTGTCAACTTGCTTTGCAATTACTCAATCCAAAACAAATAAATATACAGTGGCAAAAACCTGGAGCGTTCCATCATTCTAAATGAATGTGTACAATCTTGTACAAATCAAAGATGTTTGCTTTTGCTGACCTGGCAGAGTATGAAGATAGTTTTATTAAGAAATTGTCACGGTTTTGTAAATTTACTTTACTATTTTGTGTGAAAATTTGGCTCACATGCACAAGCACAGTCGATGCCCCATTTAATGACTTGGAGTTCTACAAAGAAATGCTTATTTATAAAAAAATTGACGGTGATGTTGCTGCCCTGGAAACATTTAATCGGCATCTTTGGTATTTAACCGAAGAAATATCCCCACAAATTTTAATCACATGTTTGAGCATATCAAATCACTGAAATCTGTCAACGATACAGCAGAACGAGCTGTGAAACTAATTCAAGACTATGCAACATCTATTACAAAAGATGATGAGCAGAAAGAATTTCTTTTACGTGCAGTAGAACACCATCGAAAAGTTCTTCCTTACATATATAAACAAGCAATTCAAAAACTTAATTTTTGAAAATATACTTTAAACAATCTCTTTTATTATACCTTAAAAATATTGTTATTTTGTTGTTGTAATATTAAAAAAATGAGATTTTTAATTTCTTAGAACTTATTCCCATTGTGCTTTAATATTGTTAACTTATACCAATCATTTCTTTGCTTCTTTGTTTAATAATTGAGTATTTATCAAGTTTTTTGTTTTAATTAAAAATTATAATTTAAAAAGTTTCTAATTTAGGAAGAAAAAAATCATGCAATAAAGGTATTATTAGAAATAATGAGGAAGGAGTGGGGGGGGGGGGGGTCATAAACCAGGTGAAAATTTATTTTTAATAAAGTTTTATTTTTATTTATTACAAAACTATTTGAAATTATAATAACAGTTAATTATATTGGGTATAAATAATAAACATTTAAAGGAGTATAGTAAGAATTGTTTTATGGCAAAAACAAATTAAAGGGGTTATAAAGGAGGGGAGTGGGATTGAATATAAATTTGTTTTTGAAAATAACTATTGATTAAGTTTTATCAAACAAAATTACACAAGAAAGTTATAAAAAATGCAAACATAATTTATTATCAAAAATAATTTTAGTCCTTTGTGTCATTTTTTTAGAAAAAAAACACAAAGTGGCCGTCAAAAATAAAATTATTTTGATTTTTTTTTTTTGATTTTAGTAGATAAAAATACATATGAAACTGATTGAAAATCTAGTAATAGTTAAAAACTAAAAAAATTCATGTCGTTTTAGGACACCCTAGTATATATATATATATATATATATATATATATATATATATATATATATATATATATATATATATATATATATATATAATATATATATATATATATATATATATATATATATATATATATATATATATATATATATACATATATATATATATATATATATATATATATATATATATATATATATATATATATATATATACATATATATATATATATATATATATATATATATATATATATATATATATATATATATATATATATATATATATATATATATATATATATATATATATATATATATATATATATATATATATATATATATATATATAAATACAAAAGTGTTGCAGTGTTTAAATTTTTTTTTCAATTATCTTTTTTCAATTATCTTGATAACATAACTAATAACAACAAATTTTTATTTTTTTTAACCAAAAAAACTAAACGACACGAAGTTTTTTTCGAACTCATCTGCAACCTGTCGAAATGCCTGACGAACACAATCATCTTTTGGAGCGTATAAATCGAATGAACACGCTATAGACTAAAAAATGAATTTTTAATTTAAAAATAATTTCAAAAAATTTTACAAATATAAACTATAAGTTAAGTTTCCATTTCCTAAAAATAAAGTTTAGAAGTTTGCTTTTCCTTAAAATAGTTTTCGACTTATTTCTAGTCATTTGTTACTTAATGACTTGTTGACATTTAAAAAATTACAAAATGTTGAAATTTAAAATTTTTGCTTTTATTTTGCTATTAAAATTAATAAAAAGTTTCAATCATAAAACAATTTTTTTAAGTCAAGAATTTAAAAAAAGGAATACAAAGATCAATTTCGATAAATAGGACTTATTAACAGGATATATTCTTGACACAGATATTTTTTTTCCTTTATTTATGGGATTTTAAATGTAGTGCAAAGCAGATCAATCTTTATACCTCATGTTTTACAATTATCACTAAGGTCACATTGAATGTTTTCTGCATCATTTTTCTTACAAACAATTATTATAATCTTTTCTTTCACTTAACATGAATTCTTAGTATTGTAGCTTAACCTCCTCCGGGTAATAGAGGTCACTTTACCAGAAGTCCGCAAAGACTGGTTGAGCTCCCGAAGGAGCGTCATACCCGCTCTACGGACTGAGAGTAAGGTGAGTTTAGGAAGAACGAAGATATGTTAGAGTGATAGATAGACGTAGTCGAGTTAGAAAAATGGCATAAAGTAAGCGGACAGGATTGCACACGATGTCAGAGAGTGCAATACATACTGTTAGTTAGGCTTACCCTAAGTAAAGTACGCCGACAAAGTTGTGATTAGAGTTCATTTAACATGAGCTCTGGTATTGTGGTTTTACCTCCTCCGGCTAATTGCCATATAGAGGTCACTTTACCAGAAGTCCGCAAAGACTAGTTGAGCTCCCGAAGGTGCGTCATACCTGCTCTACGGACTGAGAGTAAGGTGAGTTGAGGAAGAACGAAAATATGTTAGTGTGTAAGATAGAAGTAGTCGAGTTAGAGACATAGAATAGAATAAGCGGACAGGATTGCACGCGATGTTGGAGAGCGCAATACATGCTGATAGTTAGGTTTAGCTTAATGTACGCTGACAAAGTAGTGATTGGAGCTCACTTAAAATGCGCTTTTTCTCAATTTTCTTTGTCGTCATTAGGAAACATAAAATAAAAACTTACCTTTTATATAAAGTTTTGCTTCTAAAGTGCTTACGGTTTTGCTTTATTAATAAAAAGTAATTAAACTCATTCTTAATGTTTATTTAAAAAAAAAAAAAAAATGCGTTATGTCAATATTTGCAATTTTATTTGGCACACTTATGCCAGTTCGCAATTTAATCCGAGAGGCTTAATAAGCACGAATTGGCATAAGTGCAAACTAGCATGAGCAAAATAACAATTTGCATTATGCCAATATTTGCAATTTTATTCGGCGCACTTATGTCAGTTCGCACTTATGCCAATGTTTGCAAATTCTTTTGGCTCACTTACACCAGTTCGCTCTTGTGCCATTTAGAGGTATATGTGCAAATGGTGTAAGTTCGTACTTACACCATTTGCGCATTTACCTCCAAATGTCTTGACATTGCCAAATATCGTGACTCTCTGTGAAGACTAAAAAGTAAAAAAAAAAAAATAGCAAAAACATTTGCTAAAAAATTTAATATTTTATAATCTTTTCTTTCACTTAATATGATCTTTTCCTTAACTTTCTATTTCATCCATAGCCCGCTAAAAACTAACATTTTAAACAAAAATTTAGGGGAGATGGGGGCGCATTGATCGCCGGGGCAGTATGATCTTTTAGCTTTTACTCGTTTACTATTGCCTTAATTTAACAGAGATTGCAATTTAATTAACCATTATACTACCCTTCATTGCTTAATCGTAATAATTTTAATAAGATCAACTTCAGCGTTAAGAAAACTGAAAAGACTGTTTTTCATCATGAAAAGTGATTTTTGAAAGTTGTAAACAAATTCAAATCAGTTTTTAATTTGATTTCCGTATGACTTTACAACCAATTTATTGTAAACTCATATGTGTTAAGTTTATAATAATCTTGTTTTTTTGAGTTGGTTACTGTATTTATAGAAGTTATTGCCATCAATATATCAACTGTACCTAATGGGGAACATTGAACGTTGACTATGCGGGGCTCATTGATCGGAGGATCAAAGTGCCCCATATAACTTATATTATAAGACTTAAATTTTTTGTTTAAATTTTGTGCATATAAACTAATGACGAATAAAAAATCTTTAAATAAACTTTTAAAATTTCATTTTTAAAATGTAATAGTGATAAAAACTAATATTAATAACATTAGTTTTTAGTTTTACATAAGTTTTATAAATAGTTTACATTTTAAAAGTTTAAAATATTTTTTTTTAAACAATCATTTTATTTTACTTTTTTTTAAATTTTCAGATCTTTAAAGGGTTAGGTATAGAAATAAAAAAGCACAAAGAGTTGCTATATCATGTGATACAATGAAATCAGCTGTTAATGAAGTTTTAGAGGGAAATAATAAGATTTGCCCTTCATCATGGATCAAGAATAAAATTGCAGGGATTGATTGGTTGCAAGATTTTATGAAAAGACAACTAGAGCTGTCTTTACGAATACCTGAAACAACTAGCTTTGCTCGATCAACTGCCTTCAACCGACACACTGTTGAAGAATTTTTCCAAAATCTAAAAACAGTGAGAAATCGATATAAGTTTGATCCTTGTTGCATATATAATGTTGATGAAACTGGTTTAAAAACAAACCAGTAAAAGTGTTAGCAGGTAAAGGAAGTAGACAAGTAGGAAGAATCACATCTGCAGAACGAGGAACATTAGTAACTGTATGTTGTGCTTCAAATGCAATAGGAAACTCTATTCCTCCACTAATTGTTTTACCTAGGGTCAAATTTCATGATTACATGATAAAGGAAGGTCTTCCTGGATGCGTGGGATTTGCAAATCTTTCTGGTTGGATGAATTCAGACATTTTTATAGAATGGATAAAACATTTTGTGAGGTATTTAAACTGTTCTTATGAATCTCCAGTTTTGTTACTTCTGGACAGCCATTAAATTCATATTTCTGTTAGAGCTTTGAATCTTGCAATTCAACATGCAATTACAATGCTAAGTTTTCCTCCCCATTGTACCCATAAATTGCAACCATTGGATAGAACTGTTTTTGGACCATTGAAAAGGTTTTACAATGCTGCGTGTGATAATTGGATGGTCACAAATCCAAGACCTATGACCATTTATGATATTGTTTCAATAGTTCGCGAACCTTATACAAAAGCATTCTCACCATCTAATATACAGAGAGGATTTTAAGTAGCTGGCATTGAGCCATTTAAACAAAAAAATTTTAAAGATGATGAATATTTACCACCATCAGTTACAGATCGTGCTACTTCAAATGTAGTAAACACAATTCTTGTGGAACCTGAAATGACTGTAGCACATGATGATGGTATGGAGCCTGAAATGCTTGTAGTACATCATGAAACAAGTTTTTCGAACAAAGTGTCACCAAGCATTGCTTCATTACTCTAACCTAAAGTTTTGAAACCTTACCCGAAAGCATCTGCTAGAAAAAGAAGTGTTAAAAGTAGGAAATTAAAAACAAAGATTTTGACTGATACTCCAATCAGAAATGAAATTCGTTTGTCAGAAGAATCAACCAACAAAAGAAACTCATCGCAAAAGATAAAAAAAGGGGAAAAGTTAAAAACTTCTTGCTTAGAAACAAAAAACAATGTAATGTAGAAGCAGCATCACAACTTGACTTTGACAAAGGATGATAATATAAAAAAATAATCTTGTAAACTTTAGTTCTTATAAAAGTCTTGTATGAATCTTGTATTTTCTTTGTAAACTTAAAATACTGTATTTTTATAGACTTTATTTAAGTTTTGTAAAACTTAACACATATATTTAGTAGTATATAACGGGCTTATTTTCATAGATAGAATTGTGGTTATTCTTCTAATGTAAACTTTATACACTGGTGTGTATTAGGTTGTAGTAATATGTATATATATATATATATATATATATATATATATATATATATATATATATATATATATATATATATATATATATATATATATATATATATGTATATATATATATATATATATATATATATATTATATATATATATATATATATATATATATATATATATATATATATATATATTTTACTTTTTTTTTAGATGTATTATATAATATACACTAATACCCTTCAACTAATGCATTTGAAGCACTTAGGTATAGCAGTATTAAATATGTAAATAATGTTACTCATATAAGATCAAAGCGCCCCATATTGGAGATCATTGTACCCCATTGCATCGGGTACATTGTTTTTTTGCAAGGGTTGTTGTAATGTTGAAATATACCATGTTCATTAATGTTTTTTATTAAAATATTTATTTTTACTTAAAGACAGATTGCTCTAGTTTAGTTTAGTAAATAATAAGTTTTTATATCTAGATCGGGTTGTTTGCAGTTTTCAAAATACTGCAACGGCGATCAATGCGCCCCATCTCCCCTACCATAAAATTGCTTGCGGGTTTGGTTAGAATAGTCATAGTATTCTCTTTTCATTTTTAAAATAGGCTAATATTGCTTGTGGGTTTGTAATTTTTTATTAATATTATTTATTGTTCTCTTCTAAAAAAATTTTTATTTTAAAAATTGGCTAAGATTGCTTGTGGGTTTGTCTTTCTTTTTAAATCTTTTTTTTAACTTTTTTTTTTTTGAAAAATTATTTTTTTAATAAAATTGAAAAAGTTCCTTACAAAGTACAATATGTTCCTTACATATTTCACTTTTATATAAAAATTTTTATCTTTTAAAAGAAAAATATTCTGCACCTTAATCAGCAAATACTCCGTTTCTTTAGGATAAAAAACTCAATTTAATTAAAAAATTCTCGACAAACGCATCGCTAAATATCGTAACTCTCTGTAACGACTAAAAAGTAGAAAATAAAATATAGCAAAAACAT